ACTTGGTAGCCCAGGCTGGCCTCGAACTCACAGAGATCCGCCTGGCTCTGCCTCCCGAGTGCTGGGATTAAAGGGGTGCGCCACCAACGCCCGGCATCTCCGCCTTGTTTTTTGAAGCGAGGTCTCTTTCTGAACCTGGAACTCGCTGGGTGGGCTAGACTTGCTTTACCAGACCCTCAGGGACCCTCTTGTCTCTGCTGCCGGAGCAGAGTCTACAGGATCATGTGCCACTGAGGCTGGCTTTGAACATGGGTGCTGGACACCTGACCTCAGATCCCTGTGTCTGCACAGCAAGCACAAGACTGAACCAGCTCTCTGGCTCGTTCTCTGTTCTCTGAATTCTCTTTCTCTGGAAAATGATACATCCTCCTTTTTCTGTTGTAATAGAAGACTTTTCTTTCTTTTTTTTTTTAAATCTCATAAACTGTAGAACCAAAGAACGCTGGGCCTGGAGGAGATGGAGGCAAGAGAGGAGGGAAGCAAGATGACTTTGCCTGGTGGAGACGGATGCAGAAGGTTTGTGTGCATCTAAAGACCAGAAGCGGCCATGTGTCACTTCCCCAGAGAGTGTGGTTGCTACAGAATGCAGGCTTTGTGGGGTCTTTGTCTTATTTTGTTCCTGCTCTTAGACAAAATTGCTGGATAGTTTGATCGATTTCTTGTTTGTTTTGGCTCTTTTGAGACATGGTCTCCTATGTAAACTTGGCTGGCCTAGAACTCACTGTGTAACCTAGGCTTGTGATGAACCTCCTGTCTCTGCTTCTGAGTGCTGAAATTACAGATGTGCACCACGGTGCCCCTTGGACTGTGTAATTTGTAAACAGCGTGTATTTATTCACAGTTGAAGAGGCTCGAAAATACATGGTCAGAGTGCTGGTGTGTCCAGGGTTTATAGAGGCTTTGGTCTCTGTTTTCAAGACTCCATTCATGGTGTCTTCTATACTGCTTTGTCCATAGAGGAGCAATAGTGTATCCTTATATGACAAGAAGGAACAAAATCCATCCTTCAAGACCTTTAATGTTAGCATACAAATTCCATTCATGAAGATGGAGCGCACATGACTTAGTCATTTCTGAAAGGTCCCTCTTTAATGCTTTTACTGTTGGTGTTGATTTCCAGGATGGATTTTTGAGAGACCTAGACAGTTCAGAGTTAAGAAATTTATTAAGATGTGTCAAGACTTAGAGTCCAAGATAAGAGAGAACCTTCTGCAGGGCACGGTGGCACATGCCTTTAATCCTAATGTATTTTAAAAAACGACGGGAAGGAGTCAGCCATACCACAGGCCCACGTGGGAGGTTTATTGCGGGGAGGGGAGAGAAGGGGGCAGAGACCCGTTCCTGGGGACAAGAGCAAAGGAAAAAGAAGAGAAAGAGACAGGAGGTGGGCAAGGCCGCCTTTTATAAGGGAAGTTAGTGAAGGCACACAGGGGGTGCTCTTAGTGGCTGCAGCTGAGGATGTATCCTGTCAGGACCCTAAGGGCAGGCCAGTACAGATGCCTGAATGCCCACACCTAATACTCCAGAGGCAGAGATAGGCAGAGCTCTGTGACATTGAGGCTAGATTGGCCTACATAGTAAGTCAGTTCCAGGCCAACCAGGGTTATACATACTGAAAAGAGAAAATTGTCATTTGCATAGAGAAATTGTCGTTTTCATGCTGTTCAGAGGATACAAGTTTGGCTTACATCTGCCTGTAGCTCCAGTTCCATGGAAACTCCCTCTTTGGGCCATGGGCACCCCCTTTCCTGGATACACACACATACATGTAAATAAAAATTAAAGAGAAAAAAATTTTAAGCAAAAAAATGAAACCACCTTATTTGTTATTTAACTAGAAAATGTGTTTTCTTTTCTTCTATAGGGAGAGTTTCCTTGGGATGACAAGGATTTCCGGAGTCTGGCTGTTTTGGGGGCAGGCGTGGCTGCAGGATTTTTATATTTCTATTTCCGAAATCCTGGAAAAGAGATCACCTGGAAACACTTTGTACAGTATTACCTAGCCAGAGGTCTGGTGAGGAGATTTATAGACTTGTCTTCTTGGGAAAGAGGGTGCTATGCAGGAGGTTTACAATACCCTGAAGGAGCTGTGAGCTCTGGGAGGGGCTGAGAATCAGGTTACTGTGTGATGGAGTTCTGAGCAGGCCACCTGGGGACAGGAACAGCTCAAGCAGAACAGAACAATGTCAGTCCTGCTTTCTGGTTGGGTAGAAGGTGTCTTAATACCATGTCCTGGCATTATCAAAAGATAAAACATGAGCTTGTCTTTTAAAATTTGGCTCTATCCATTACTCTTTGAATTTCAGTCTCTTGTCTGATTGAGAACTTTTTTTTCTCTTCCCTGTACCCCTGGTTCCTGCTGGCCAGCCCTAGGCTTGTGAGATCTGTCTTGTGAGAGGTACTTGGTAGCTCCGCTAACAGTACTGGGAGACAGCTGCTACAGCCCTTCCCTGCCTATGGACCTGCTGTCTGTGGGCTTGCTGAGGAGAGTGAGACAGAACCTGAGTTCTGCTAAGTGCAGAATAGGACCTGCAGGCAGGTTCCAGAGTGTCCCAAACTCAGGCAGATAACCTGCTGTTTTACTGTGTTCGGGAGGATCTTTATCAAAGAGCAAGTTTACATTAGTCACTTATATTGTAGTGGTTCAAAATTGTTTGATGATGGGCTGAAAAGATGGCTCAGCAGTTAAGAGCACTTGATTTTCTTCCAGAGAACTTGAATATCCATATCAGGCAGCTCACAACAGCCTGGAACTCTACCCCTGGGGTGTCTGATGTCTTCTTCTGGCCTGTGTGGGCACCTGTACATATATAGTAGACACACAGACATGTACACATAAATAAAAACAAATTGAGAAAGAGGAACAATACTGTGTCGTCATAGTTACAAAGTGGATTGTATCAAGTTGTGGTTTCCTTTCTGGTTGTTTTTGAGGCAAGGTTGCCCTCTGCAGCCCAGTCTGGCCTTGAACGTGCAGCAATGCTCCTGCTTCTCGAGTCCTGGGATATAGGTGTGCCATTCTCTTTTTCTGTTTCTCAGAGGCATACCAGTCTGTTGTACAGCTGTGGTAGCTCATGAGCCTCTGAGACTGCTTTTATTCTTACCGGCATTGTTTTTGTTTGTTTGTTTGTTTGTTTTGTGGTGGGCAAAATGTTTCTGAATCAGGTCTATACTCAAGATTTTACTGTATTGTGTATGAGAGATGGCTTGTGGGTGTAGACACTTTCAGAGCAAGTATGAGGATATTAGTTTAAATCTCCAGAACCCACATGAAAGCTGGGTGCCTAGCAAGGATGTCTGAGATCCTTATGCACCTATTGGGAGATGGGAAATGGAGAAAGGAGAATCCCTGGAAGCTTGTGGGCTGGGTAGCCTGGACTATGCAATGGGAACACAGAGACACTGTCTAGAAAAGGTTGGAGGTGAGGGCTGGCCCCTGAAGTTGGAGTTGTCCTCTCCTGTCCACATATGGTGGCATGTGCATCCAAGTTCATACACATCATATACTAACAGGTTTTAATCTGTTGTAGTCATTTAGGGTTTCAAGTAGTCGAGTATGGAGCTCAGATGTTCTAAATTTGAGAGGCTTCCTGAATTTAATAGTTTCTTTATTAAAATGAGGTAGATTCATGCCCCAAGCTTACAGATCCAAGGGAACAAGAAACTAAAACTTACTTAGACTGGGCTGTGGATGGTAGGGAGGATATGTTGTCTTTAGGATGTAGGTGTGCCTGTGCCTACACTGCTTATGGTTGGCCTGAAAGTCCTTACTGCCTTGGCTGTTACGACTGCTTTTCTCTTTTTCCAAGGTGGAGCGGCTGGAGGTTGTGAACAAGCAGTTTGTTCGAGTTATTCCTGTTCCTGGGACGACATCCGAGGTGAGGGGCTGATGTGTGGCCAAGTGTCCTGGATACCTTTTGTTTGTTGTTTGTTGTTTGAGACAGCCTCACGCTGTAGACCAGGCTGGTCTCGAACTCACAGAGATCTGCCTGTCTCTGCATCCAGAGTGCTGGGCTTAAAGGCGTGTGCTACTACACCAGATCACTGTTTTTTAAGAGTTGACTTTTATTATTTTTAGTTATGTGTCTGTATGTCTGTGTGGGTATGTGCATGTCAGTATAGGTGGCTGCTGAGGCCAGAAGTGTCAGGTGCCCTTGGAGTTGGAGTTAGGAACCTCCTGACGTGGTCCTCTGCAAGAGCAGTACTGCTCTTCCTGCTGAGCCATCTCCAGCCCCAGGATAGGTTATTTTTAAAAACTGTAAGCTATAGTTGTCTGTTTAGTAAAGTACCTTCCCAGTTGTCCATCGGTCCATGTTGTTTGTGATGATTTGGGCTGGAGAGATGGCTCAGTGGTTAAACAAGCACTGGCTGTGCTTCCGGAGGACCCAGGTTCAATGTCAAGCACCCATGCGATTGCTCAGAAGCATTCATTACTTCAGTTCCATGGAATATGCTACTTTCTTCCGGCCTGCACAGGGAACAGGCATGCATAGAGTGCATAGGGGACAGGCATGCATAGAGTGAACAGACATCATGCAGCCTGCACTGGGAACAGGCAGGCATGCATAGAGTACGTAGACGTTATGCAGGCAAATGACCATGCACAAAGAATAATTTTTTGTTTTGTTCTTTTGAGACAGCGTTTCTCTGTAGTCCTGGCTGTCTTGGAACTCACTCCGTAGATCAGGCTGGCCTGGAACTCACAGAGATCCGCCTGCCTCTGCCTCCCAATTAAAGGCCTGCACCACTCCTGCCTGGCCACAAAAAAATAAAAATAATTAAAAAATTTATCTTGATAATTATGGTTTATCTCACTGTCTTAAATAGATAATGGCTAGTGCAGGAAGCCTTTAAGACTACTATAATTAGTTTTTGTCAAGTAATATGTAAGAACCACTTGCCAAAATTTCTGAGAAAAGGTAGAAAAAGACAAAGGGAGACTTTGGCTATTGTGGCAGCATTTTATCTTTTGTCTAGAACTTAAAACCTTGAAGTTTCGTGTACCACAACTGAATGAGCTGCTGTTTGCCTGCTTGCCCTTGGAGCTAGCTCCAGGAAGGGATTTGTCCATATCTGTCTGTCAGAGCTAGGGGAAAGAGGCTTTTCTGGAAGAACACAGATGTGGATGAGAGCATCAATCCCCGTGGGACACAATGGTGAACCTAACTTCCTCTTGGTCTCTGCAGAAGTTCGTGTGGTTTAACATTGGTAGTGTTGATACCTTTGAGCGGAACCTCGAGTCTGCTCAGTGGGAGCTGGGGATTGAGCCCACCAACCAGGCTGCGGTAGTCTATACTACTGAGAGTGATGGGTGAGTTCCAGGGATGTGGAGGTCCTTGGGAGACTCTAGTGTAGGGCATCCGATTCTGAACACAAAACAGAAATTCAATGTTTAACCTATTTTGGGGAGTGCTTATTTTTTTTTTTAACATATTATAGGCATCTGCTAATATTTACAGTATCAATACTTAAAGAATATTTTGATCTATTTTTATTTTTAAAATTTTTTGTTTTGAAGTGGCCTCACTCTGATAGCCATCTAAGTCTCAACTCCTGGGTTTAAGCCTCCCAGGTATACACCATGGCACTGGCTTACGTCTGTTTATTGCAAAGAGAATGCCAGGTGGCCTTTAAAAAGTGTATAGGAAAGTATGTAGGAAAAATTAAAAAAACGTATTAGATATTGATATCTTTGCTGAACCAGAGTCTTCTGAAGAAAGCATATGGCTAAGGGTCTGTCAGACCTGTTTGGTCAAAGGCTAAGCCCCCCCGCTGTGGGTCAGGACAGAAGCAGTGCTGTTAGGACCTTTTAGAAACTGCCCCTTTTGTACAATGAAAATCTTAGAATGGTTTGCTCTTTCTGGGTAACAGTGGGACTTCCGACCTTTCTCTTAAGTGAAAGTAACAAGTGGTTTTCTTGGGTTTTTGCAGCTCTCTTCTCCGAAGCCTGGTACCCACCCTGGTCCTGGTTAGCATCCTCCTCTATACCATGAAGAGGGGTCCAATGGGGACTGGTCGTGGTAGCCGAGGAGGAGGCCTCTTCAGTGTTGGTGAGACAACAGCCAAGATCTTAAAAAACAACATTGATGTGCGATTCGCAGATGTGGCTGGCTGTGAAGAGGCCAAATTGGAAATTATGGAGTTTGTGAATTTCCTGAAGAACCCAAAGCAGTATCAGGACTTAGGAGCCAAAATTCCAAAGGTAGTGATTTCAGGAAACAGTGATACAATCCAGGCACCAAGTTGAAGTACAGATTGCTGTTATTTAGAAGAGATAAATATTTAACGAAGTTTTTTTCCTCCTGAAGTTTGTATTTCTGTTAACCACAGTAGAGGGTGGAAATTGTGCCTGTAGTGTAGAACGTTAAAGTCCTCCTGTTTGATTGGTGAGATGGCTTACGCCTGTAGTTCTGGCCCTTGGTTGGTCAAGGTTGGAAGGCTTGTGAGAGTTCCGAGCTGGTGTAGGCCCCATAGTGAGTCCATGGCCAGCCTAGGCTGTAGGCTAAAGACACTGTCTCAAAAAAGCCCACGTTTGCTTTTGGTCTGTTTTTAATGTTACGATCTCATCTATGGTGACCTGACAGTAACCCAGCACTCTGAACTCTACGCACAAGCTTTGTTGTTGGCACAGGGTCTCTGTAGCCTTGGATGGCCTGAGACACTGTAGACCAGGCTGCTTTCCTCACAGAGATCTCCTGCCTCTGCCTCCCAAGTGCTGGCGTTAAAGGCATGGGCCACCATGCCCAGCAGAAACAGGGTCTTGATCTTTTTCAAGGGGCCAGTGAGATGGATCTGCTGGTGAAAGCAATCACCACCAGCCTGATGAGCCAGGTTTGATCCTGAGATTCACATAATAGAAAGAGAGAACAACCTTCTGTGGGTTGTCCTCTGACCTCCGCATATGTGCAGTGGTGAGTGTGTGCACACATGCACATTCAAGAACAGTAAGCTGGGTGTGGTGGTAAAGGAGCTTTGCCTTCAAACCTGACAGCCTGAGTCACCCCTCAACAGAGACAGGGTTTCTCTGTATAGCCCTGGCTGGCCTGGAACTAGCTCCACAGACCACATTGGCCACAAACTCTCAGATATCCATGTACCTCGGCCTCCAGGTGCTGGGTTTGAAGGTATGACCCACCACCACCTGGAGACAGCCCAAATTCTTTTTTTTTTTTTTTTTAAATATGGAACGCTTCACGAATTTGCGAGTCATCCTTGTGAAGGGGCCATGCTAATCTTCTCTATATCGGTCCAGTTTTAGTCTATGTGCTGCTGAAGCGAGCACAGACAGCCCAGATTCTAGTTCCTGGGCCCACGTGCTCTTTCTGCATGGTGGAAAGAGAGAACTGACTCTTGCAAGTTGTTCTCCGACTTCCTCATATATACCGTGGCATGGCAACCCCACCCCCTAAACACAGCTAAATTAATGTAATCACTTTTTTAAGAAATCCTTTTAATTTTCAGTCATAATAGTTCATAAAATGAAAATGAAGGTGTTATACAGATGTGAATTGGTGATCTTGTTTTTTTCTTTCCTCCAAATGTGTGCTCATATGTGTGAGTGTAGGCATGTACGTGTCTTAGTTTAGTTTCCATTGCTGTGATGAACACCATGACCTAAAGCAGCCTGTAAGAGATTTGTTTCTTCTTGGATTCCAAGTAATAGTGAAGGATGTCAGGGCAGAGCTCAAGCAGGGCAGGTACTTGGAGGCAGAAGCCGTGGAGGAGTGCTGCTTACTGGTTTGCTCCCTGTGGCTTACTCAGCTTGCTTCTTTTTTGTTTGTTTGTTTTTGTTTTTGTTTTTCTGGGATTTTGAGACAAGGTTCTCTGTGTAATAGCACTGGCTGTCCTGGAACTCACTTTGTAGACCAGGCTGGCCTCGAACTCACAGAGATCTGCCTGCCTCTGTCTCCTAAGTGCTGGGTCTAAAGTTATGTGCCACCGCTGCCTGATTCTCAGCTTGCTTCTTTATATAACCCAGGATCAATTGCCCAGAGGTAGCATCACCCACAGTGGTCTAGGCTCTTCCACACCAGTCCTCAGTCAGGGAAACACCCCACACTCTTGTCTACAGGCCGGTTTAATGGGAACATTTTCTCAATTGAGGATCCCTCTTTTCTGAAGACTCTTTTGTGTCAAGTTGACAAAACTAAGCAATACAGCGTGCCATAGATCGTGTGTGAGGGTCGTAGGACAAGCTCACTTTCCACCTTGTTTGAGACAGGATGTCTTGCTGTTTGCTGCTGTGTATGCCAGGCTACAGTTGTGGGGATTCTCCTGTCTCTGGCTGCTGTCTTATATAGGAACACTGCTATTGTGCCTGGCTTTACATGGATTCTGGGGATTCAGACTGGGGTCCTAAGTGCCTGGCCTGAACAACTGATGGAACCCCCCCAAAATGAGTTGTGTCCACCCTTCAAACCAGCTGTGAAGCTGGACAGGCTTCCTGGCTGGATTTCAACAGGCAATTGTGTTTCACTCCTGGGAGGCCATGCAGAATGGTACTGCTGTTTTAGAGAGCAATTTGGCAATAATCATTAAGGAAAGCATTCTGAGACAGAAGATGGTGGCACATGTCTTTATTCCCATCACTTGGGAGGCAGAGGCAGGCAGATCTCTGTGAATTTGAGGCCAGCTGGTCTACAAAGCAAATTCCAGGACAGCCTGCACTACACAGAGAAACTCTGTATTGAAAAACCAAAAAGAAAAGAAAAAAAAAAAAGAAAAGCACTCTGGTTCTTCGAACCAGTAAACTGCTAGACTTATTCCTGCAGAAGACAACTTCTCCAGTGAGAGTCTGGATCTGGGAGTTTTCTATTTATGTATGTATGTATGTATGTTTGTTTTCCGAGACAGGGTTTCTGTGTATAGTTTTGGTGCTTGTCATGGATCTCTCTCTGTAGACCAGGCTGGCCTCCAACTCACAGAGATCCACCTGGCTCTGTCTCCCGAGTGTTGGGATTAGTATTAGTTTTTTTAAGGAAAAAAGATTTTCTAAAAACCCTAGGCTCTAAAAGTGGTAGATTTAAGGTCCTTTTTAGCCCTAGAAGTTGCCTGTATGTATTAGGAAACTGGGCTTGTTCCTAGTGTTCTGTCTGTCCTTCTGGAGAACTAGGTGTCCCTTTTTTCTTGCAGGGAGCAATGCTCACTGGCCCACCTGGAACTGGCAAAACACTTCTTGCAAAAGCAACTGCTGGAGAGGCCAACGTGCCCTTCATCACTGTGAATGGGTCGGAGTTCCTGGAAATGTTTGTTGGTGTTGGGCCGGCACGGGTAGGTGGATGGGTAACCAGCTATAGAAGGTGCCAACACACTTCTTGTCCAGGATTGGTCATTGTGTAGCTCTAGGCTTTGTGTGGGACAAGCGCTGAGTGCACCCCATTAGGGAGGTGCTGATATATCAAAGGAAGGGCTAAGGGTGAACTGTTCTCCTGTGCGATAGGAACGGAAACAACAAAACGGTCTGCATTCCTTTCCAGGTTCGTGACATGTTTGCGATGGCCCGAAAAAATGCTCCTTGTATTTTATTCATTGATGAGATTGATGCAATTGGCAGGAAGCGAGGCCGTGGTCACCTGGGAGGCCAGAGTGAGCAGGAGAACACTTTAAACCAGATGCTTGTGGAGATGGATGGTGAGTGGACACTGTAGCAGGTCTGCAGGGACTCAGTTTCCACAGGAATATATATTCATTCTTCTCTCTATTTAGCCTGACTTAGAGGTCTGATTCTTGCTGCCTCCATCTCCTGAGTGCTAGGATTACAGGCATGTGCCCACTGTGTCTGGCTGATGCGTTCTGACTTTAAAAAAGAACGTTCTCAATCAAACATAAATAAGAAATCAGTGTTTGATCCACATAGAGCTCCTCACTGCACAATGGGAGATTTGTTTCCTACCTGCCAGGAGGCGGGAATTAGCTGGGATGAGGGCACCTGTTTCTCTTGGGAGGTAAACATGTATATGAGCATGAGTGTCCCTGTTGGTGCACATAGGATAGAGCGGACTCAGCCACACTCCTTTGGCTCTGGGCCTTGTTCTGCTGATCTCAGAGTGATTCTAGCCAGGGTGTACCTCCATGGAATACTTGTAGTCATTATCCCACTTTTGAGTTTGGTAAAGCTTCCACTGGATCTTTGGCAGATTTTGTCTTCATTTTGGCTTTAGTGTCATGTTGAGGTTCCTAAGCCCTCTTTGGGTTTAGTATTTTACCAGGGAGTCACAGAATCAGCTGTACTCAGGTATGATCCAACACAAAGGAAGGACACACAGCAAAATCAGCCAAAAGAGAAGGCACAGGGAATGGTCCATTAACCAGATGCAGCTTCTAGGGTCTTCTCCAGGAACACACTGATGGCATGTAGGAATTGCCTTGATCCCTGCTGTTTTCATTGGGTGTTGGTCAGGTGCCTTCTGCTTGGCATGTACCAAGATTCCAGACTTCTGGGAGGAAGGCAGGTATTGTGCATAAATAACATTGTTTGCACTAGTAGTTTGGGCACCAGGAACCATTGTCAGAGAAGGTGGCAACCACTCATGTGGTCCTTAAGACAGCCAAGCCAGTCATATGCACTTCTGTACATACCAGAGTTGTTTCTGGTGTCCTGTACTAAATCTTTAGTACCCAAAGGTGAGTGAAATAGGTTGTTACTATGCTTTCCTCTGGCGGGAACTGAGTGGAGACGGTAAACGCATGTGCACACCTAACCGTCATCCTCATGGCCTCACCTTGGATGAGTGTTCCTTGCTTGCCATCACCTGGTTGTACTTGATGAATCCTTCAAGCCCACAAGGACTTGGGTGGAAGGAGGCAGTGAGCCCTGACAAAATGGTGTCAGGGTAGCAGGAGTGAGAAATACAAAGAGACTCCCATGTTCCAGGCTTTATCTCTTATCCTTGTCTCAAATTATAGAGTTCGCTGTTTGCTGAGAAAAGGTCTGCTTTCCCACCAGCAGAAATGTACCTTACTCACAGCCGATGGTAATAGTGAGAGCTTAGAGCCAAAGGTCAAGTCTTTCCTAAAATGGGGCAAGCCTGGGCCCCTGGGGCAGCTGGGCAGGGCCTCAGGCCTGTTTCTTGGCACTTAGGGAAGGATGTGGGTGGGGCAAGCAATAGGGAAGTAGAGCCTGCATGGCGCCTGACTTGGAATGGTCATACAGATTCTGGTATTGCCTGGGCCTTCCTCAGATTAACCAGCATTTCTTGTGTTTAGGGTTTAACTCTGCCACTAATGTGGTAGTGCTAGCTGGCACCAATCGCCCTGATATCCTTGACCCAGCCCTAACACGGCCTGGCCGGTTTGACCGCCAGATCTACATTGGTGAGTACCTGTCATGTAGGTACTTGGGTTTGGACCTCAGCCCCTGAGGTTAAAGGTTTGGCTAACTCACTTCCTGTGCTTTGGGAGGTGTTGATGCTGGGTCCCGTCTGACAGTCCACATCTTGGGAATAACAGGCGTGGTCTGGCTGTCCACATGTCTTTGTAGTGAGCACAGGTAAGAGTGGTACAGCTTGTTTCCATCTGTTCTCCAGACTTGATTTTCATAGACCTTGATACTTAGGGAAAAAATGATTTATCCCTTGTCCTTCTCTGTAGCTATAATTTTCTCCGGTCCTGCCCAGCCCTGATGTCCCACAGACGCTTATAAAGTAATTACTCAGACACTTAATATTATTTACAAACAGTATGGTCTATGGCAGGCCTCTTGTTAGCTAGCTCTTATATCTTTTTGTTTGTTTGATTGTTTTTGTTTTTCAAGACAGGGTTTCTCTGTGTAGCTTTGGTGCCTTTCCTGGAACTCACTCTGTAGCCCAGGCTAGCCTCGAACTCACAAAGATCCGCCTGCCTTTGCCTCCCGAGTGCTGGGATTAAAGGTGTGTGCCACCACCACCTGTCTTTAGCTTTTATATCTTAAATTAACCTATTTCTATTAATCTATGTTTTGCCACATGTTCCATGGCTTGCCCATCTGCTGGCATATTGTTCCTTGGGCAGCAGGCTGGCTTCCCCCCAGACTCCGCCTTTCTCTTTCCCGTCTCTCTCCTTGGATTTCCCTCCTGGCTCTAGGCTGCCTTGCCATAGACCAAAGCAACTTACTTATTAACCAATGGGAACAGCGTATATTCACAGTGTATGGAAAGACATCCCACAGCACTTCTCCCCAATGGTCAAGAATAGTCACCTTCCCTTGACGTTTCCCAA